TAAGCCATACAAAGAAAATAATAAATCTGCTGCTTAGACAGTTGCTGCTGGCATATAAAGTGACATGGCATTTGTTTTTAAAGGAGTTAAATGTATGAATATGACCACTCAGATTGTTGCCTAGAAAGTAAATGTTTGCTAGAGTCTTGTTTTCCTCACTGATGTGCGTAAATTGTAAAAGAGGATACATAAGCAGATTAGTTGAGGGCAAGCGATACATTAAACATCATTGTCCATATCCTCCAGAAGTATCTGTAAATGCCATGGAGCGTAATGCATAGTTCTGTCTTTTAATGCATTGTAAGTGTGCCTTACATCTTCATTTTATTGTAACAGTGTGCAAATTCAGAGTGTAGGCATTGCATTTTGAACTGATGTTTCAGTGTTTTGTCAAAGTAATAGAATTATATGGGCATAACGAAGGATGCCAATATTCGCTCTGACTTACAGGCAACCTGTTTCATTTGCATATCTGTCATTCACAGTGTGAACCCTGAGATCTTATCATTGTTCTCCCTCATCAATTTATCTGTAAAGAGTATGTATAAAGATGTTTTGTCTTTCTGTAGCTATTGTGAATATCTCGTTATTCATGAAATACATATTAACAAGGAATAGGGATATTAACGAATGTTTGAACTTAGTTTGACCCATTTGATGAGATCATGGTAACAAGCCGTGCTGTTTGTTATGAAGCAGGTAATTTCTAAGGTTACAATGAAATCTGCTTTGTTTGCCTTTTGTTAGGGTATAGAGGAGAAACACAAGAGTTACTGGAAAATGAAAAAGAAAAAATATTTAAATGATTTCTGAATGCATTTTTCTTGGAATACTCTTTGTGCTTTTAATTAGAAAATGACTAATAGCTGTCTCATGCATTACCTGTCTTAGTTTAAAAGTTACACTTCCCTTCCATGTGTGTTGACCATTGTTTCATGTGATGACATTTCATGTTTTACTGGTCACAGCTGAAGCTTCAGCTGAACCTTGTCTCTGCAGTACATAGTATGTCATATCAAAGATGTAAATGCATAGCATTAAAACAGGAAAAAAAGTATTTAATTTATAGAAACAAAACAATTAAATGGTCAGCCTCTTTATGAGCCTCCTTCAATGGGTAATTTTATCATGCTTTCTACAACAGGATCAAGATTGTTGCAATAGAATCATTGTGTTGGAAGTAGTCTTTAAAGGCTCATACAATCAATCCTTCTGTGAGTTGGCAAGGGATTTGACAATTCCTCAATAATCCAAAGACAATTATCAAATCTAACATGGCTATCTCTTCTCTCTTTTTCCTTCACATTAAGCTATCTTTACCTCTCCTCTGAGGTTTTATTTTCCAAACCTTTGCTCCTTACTGTTATTCAGCTTTAAACTGTCTCCAGTTTATCTGGGTCTTTTCTGACCTGTGGTACTCAGAACTGAAAGCAGCATTCTCTAGCACTGTAAGCTCATGCCGTTTCATTGTTGGTAAACCATTTGCAGCCTGATTTTGATAGTTTCCCCATCTCTTTCAGTGACTGCGTGGCTTTGCCAGTGCATGAAAGTGGTTGGGCTGCTAGCCAAAGACATGTGCCTAAAAACCTTAAGCTGTGCCTCTGACAGGTGCAATCAGCAGGCTACTTTCTGGTCTTGGTGTGCTGGTTCCGGTGAACCACACCAGCTGGAAAGGCCATTCACCATTGACAGGTATTAGCTTCCCAGCTGGCATGATGCTGAATGCAATTCTACATGTTGTGTTTGACTGGTTTAGGGTAGCACCTCGTGTAGCCAGTGGAGAAAATAATTCCAGTTCAATCTTATGAGGACCCTTTACATAGCACAGAAGGATGTAAAAACGATTCAGCAATCAGGCCAACAGCAGTAAGCAAAATAAGTTCGTAGTATTGCACTAGAAAATGGGGGGGGGGGGGGGAGCAAAAATTAGCAAAAAATTGATTTAATCGTTACTTGCCATACGTTTTTTTTCTTCCTTTGCACCATTGCTAATCTTTGATCAGATGTTAGAGTGTTTTTGAGCTATTTTTTTTCCCTATACCATGTAGCATTTACCGCTCTGATGATCAAGATTCCTAGAGCTTTCCTATATCTTAGTCTAAGTTAACTTTGAAACAAAGGCTTTCTTTTACACAGCAAAGTTGTTACAAAAGAGCAGTACGTATAGGAATGCAAACAAATATCAGAATTGGTCTCATTGTTTACCTTTAATGTTGATGAGCCACATCTGAACTTGCGTAGTCCTTCTGCATATGTTTAGGAGCATGTGTGTACATCAAAGTCGTTCGTAATTATTAGATGTTTCTTCAGTCCAAATCATAACTTGGAGCAAGCCTTGTTACAGAGTGAATTACTTATGTGCAGCTTTGTTTCCTGTGCTTTTGTAATGGCTAATTGTGTGTAGTAGTAATATCATTGAAGGTCATATCACAAGTTCAGAGTGGAAGTAGTGTGGTCATTCATTCACAGAATATTCTCAATTTCTTTCTGCTAGTTTAAACACAAAAGATGATGTATCATAGTCTGATTTACTGGTTCTTCTTTATAGTCTGTGTATTTTTGAAACAAAAATGTAGTATTCTGCTGCGTGTTACTGGTTCAAAAAACAAGGTAAATTATTTCCTCTAAATTCACCTACAGCATGATTATGTTTTAGCCACAAGTTTGACAAACATCCCAGTACGGTATAGCCTCACCAAACCAAATTGTCTAAAGGTAGCAGAAGACAGGTCCTTTGTCAGAGAGACTAAGACAGCATTGCTTCTGAATGTGAGATTCAGAAGGATCAGATTGCTCATCACTAACTAGTCTTTCTTGTATTAAAAATCAGACACACAAAAAAAACCTTACAATTGTAACAATTTTCCCTGTGACTCCTGTTTGCTAGTGCTCGTTTCCACTTTTAGATCTGTTGTCTCTGCCCCACACAGACAGCTTTTACTCGAGCAGGACAGATATACTAGGGGAGAAATGCTGCTGAGTGGCTGGCTGAGATGCTGAACCATACTGGCCAGCTGCAAAAGACAACAAACATTAACACTTTTTTATCTCCCCCCTCAATTATGCCAAGTGGTAACGTACCGAGACTGATAGACCAAATGTTTTACTGTACTGCTGCAGTTACAGGCATCAAAATTATCAGACTGGTGTGAACCAATGCTAAACATTGATTTAGCAGTATAACATTGAAAAGAACAAGAATGCATATATGTTAACTAAGTGTATATATGTAAATTGAATTAATGTTTCCTGGCAGCAGAAAGGCAGCTCTCAACATTGCAACATATGTTGTGCTAAGCATTGTACAGTATAAGATGCTGTTTACAGTGCACTACATCAGACAACAGCCAAAGAAGCATATGTGTATTAGGTGTGCATAACATACTCATAAACATAGCGGTATCACTATTTCTTCATAAAAATACAGATAGACACAAATACTGTATCTGACACCCTATGCCAAGGATCAGCAGGCTCATTAGGTGCCCCAGCATAATCAGCAGCGTACCGTGGGAAGGGCAGCACAGGGGACTTACCCCTGTTGTGTACAGAAACATTTTACACCCTGTGCTATGGCTTTATCTAACACAGGCTAAGTTAACTTCAAAACCTTGAAGCCCGTCCAAGTTACTGCACCCAGTACTCCATTACTGCAGGAAACATACCGTACTCTCTCTCACCAGCTAATAAACTACATCTCTAAAGCATCAGTGGTTTTGCTACAAATTGGAAGAGTGTTTGAGAATGTCGGTGCCCTAATGGCTAGATACCATCTCCTAATTTCCAGTTGAAATTTCTCAATGGCCAGTTAACACCCATTTGTTCTTGTGCTGGTGTTGTCCATTAGCGTGGATATTCACTTAGGATGGCAGAAGGCTATCTCCTTGATGTATTTATAGCCCAGTGGTATCCCCCGTCTTCAGTTTCCTGGACTAAACAAGCCAAATTATCCTAATCTTCACTTTTTAAATAGGCTCTCTACTTCTCTGATCATCCTAATAACCTTTCCTGCATTCATTCTGGGCTCAATCTGAGTTGAGTGATCAGACTTACGCACGCTTTCTATGCAAAGCATAGCTGTGCCTTCTATAATGATATTGACACATTTCTAGTTTTGACTTAGTCTGCATGAAACCAAGCACTGCTTGTGATTAAAGACTAAAAGGCACCAGCATTCTTGGTTTAATGAAGGGGTTTTTTAAAAGTGGCTGTCATGCCAGCTGCATTTCAGATGGCTGCAGTAAGCGTGCTTTCTATTCAGTACGCATTTCAGAATTTTTATGATCTTTTCTCGCCCAATTGTTTTTCATCTCAGAATATAAAAATGGGTTAAATGCTTACCTGAGAAGTACAGGAGAAGTAGCTCTTAAATAGCACCTCTCTTCTTTCCTTTTCTTCTCTGTTGTTTTAGGAGGTGCTGGCCAAAATTGTCAAACTAGAGATTTGTTTGGTCTTGAAATAAAACAGTCAGGTTCCCAAGGTGCTTACCAGTTACAGTACCCAGAGTTCAGTAGTATTTTTGAATACTCACCATTTATGTCAGAACAAAGCTTTTATTTAACTTATAGTTGTGGATTTAAGCGTGATGAAGTTTGACAATTTTGTCCACTGTATTTAATATATTTAGTATGAGGAAGTTTTTCCCATGTCTTGATTTATACTCATCTCAACTGTGCAAAAAGATGTGCATTTCTATCAGCGAAACTGAGCCTCCAGTACCCCTGAAAGGTTTACAACTGCAAATGCTTCAGTTCCATCAGGTCTGCCAACAACAGCCAACCTTCGACGTCATGCCATGGTCGTCGGGTCACGCTAACCTGCCTGAAACAAACTTCACTTTCATTGCAGATAAACATCTGCTGTTGTCCATGTTACATTGATTAACATGTATGTGCCATTCATTCATACTTCTATTCATGGTTCATTTTTACTAAGCATGTAATGTGCTATTACTCTGCTGCTGTATACATTTTGTATACATTTTTGTTCTTCCTTGAAAGACTGCGAATGCTTCGGGCACTCCAACCGGTGCAGTTACATCGAGCTGCTCAATACGGTCATTTGCGTGAGCTGTAAGCACAACACTAGAGGTCAGCACTGTGAGTTATGCAGGCTGGGCTACTTCAGAAATGCTTCTGCAGAGCTGGACGATGAAAATGTGTGCATAGGTCAGTCCCGGGATAACTGCGGCTTTTCTTCTCAGCCTTTTCAGCTACTGGCAGCTGCTAGGGACCGCTGCTGCTTACTTGCCAGTTCAGCCAGAATGAGCTTTTTCAATGGATAAGAACAACTGTGTAGACTTTTCACCCCATTTCTGTTGCCCTTGTAGCCCCAAGGAGGTATTTTGAATCTCTATATGACAATGAACCTCTCGGGCTAAGGATCCTGGGAAAACTTTCCCAGGAAACCCCGAGAAGCTGATGGTGCTGTCCTTCAGCAGGCGGGAGCCACACCGGAGTTGCACATGTGAAGACTGAAGGGTTGAGTCATCAATACCTGTTCCCAGTCTAACTTTCAGAATTATTAGTACAGACTCTTGAATACTTGCCTGGAGACTTGAAAAGTTGCCAGCTGCATCAATAGGACATGGGGAGTAGTGTTTATTAACCCCTTTTATTCACTTTTAAATTTCATCAAAACACGTTGCAGCTAATTCTGCTCCCAGGCACAGGGCTGTAGATGCAGTGTTACCTCCCCTTTCCTTAGAAAGGAAAAACTGAAATTATGCCCACATGGTTAGGAGCAGAATTTGCCAAATTGGTTTGACATGACGTCAATTCAGAAAAGGGATTCCTAGGTGAAAACAGGGCCTTAGACCTAGCATCTGCTAGAAATATCCAAAACACAGAATTAAAGAAAATTTCAGAACATAATAAAAAAAGCATATTAGGAAAAAAGAGAAGATCTTTATCACACTAGAAGAATATGCATTGTTCTCATGTCACCACAGACAGTTTATAGCAAAAGTTAGGACACTTTAGGTGAAGATTGAACGTAGTCAATAAGTAAGCCTCATACAACTGCTAGTTGTAGTTAACAGGTAGCCACACAAGGCACTGTTCTAATAACAGAGGTGGAAGATTTATTATCTAATGTTTCTTAGAGACATAAGCATTGGTAGAAACTACTCTGGATTTTCATTGTAATTTTTTTTCCTTTCCATTTTCCAGGAAGCAAAAAGAAAGAGTAGTTATAAGATTATTTTTTTTTTATGCCAAAATAGACTATGGGTGTATAAATTATATTTTAATATTATTTATAATCCATTGCTAAAATTCAAGCCAGAAACTATTTAGGTTGCTATTATTTGTTTCAGTCTGCAGCTTGACAGATTTACATTTTATTTTGTGATAAACACCCAGATCCATCCACACACTGCATTTCACGTGTCCTTCTTTTAACTTTGCTTGGCAAGACATTCAGAAAATGCATGATCTCCTTTGACATGAATTAGTCTGAGCTAATAAGAATTTTAGTAGGCAAGTCATGATTTTGTATGACTGTGCTGAAGAGATTAACCCAATCAAATGTTCTTGGAAAAAACCCACTGTCCCTCATATTTGGTTGATGTGGATGATGGACATCATCGGTATGACATCAGAGCTGTATAATTTCAGCTGCCTAAATAGGCCTAATGAATACGACACTAAATTACTCTGCTTGGGATTTTTGATCAGCTCATTCAGTTAATTGTTTTCCCATGTACACCAAAATGCTAAGACAGCAGCTGTAGCTACACAAGACAAGGACGTTAATAAACCAGGAGTCAAAAATAAGTAAATTTTAAATTAATTTGCAAGTGATGTATTTAGAATGTCTTACTAAAACAACTGTGTACTTCAGAATTGCCCAGACTCTGCAGAAATAAAATTTTAAAACCTTACATTTAACAAGAGTCTTTAAAAAAAAAGGCAATGTGATGCATTTGCCAACTTTCCCACCTTAATGCAAGCAGAATTCTCTTGGGCTCCCACGAGAATGTACCATGTGAGATGACTATAGGATCAAACCCTGAATTGCTACATATTAAGTAATTTGTTTTAAATAAACAATATTCTTGTTGGACTAAGAGTTTCCAGGATCATAGCGATCATACTGCATACAAAATGTACATGTCCTAGCTGATTTGCCGACTTACGACGACTTTCGTACTACTACTTGTTTAAAACTCAGTGAAGCGAAACAGATACCAAAGCGCTTTTCAGAAAACAGAGAAGTTTGTGCTTAAAGTGCTTAGGAACTGGGGCTCCTAAGATTTAATCCTGCAAAGTGTAGAGCATTTTCACCTCTGAGAGAGCTGATGGATTCACCATCCTTCTAGGTCAAGCACAAAGAGTCTTGCTCTATTGGAAACGCTCATTTCTCCTTTCTCTGAGTTTAAAAGCAGTGTTTTGGGTATTGAGTGGAATGTTGGCATGAACATTTGAATAAGCAGATTTCCAGTGACATGTGCAAGTCTTATTCCCTTATGAAAGTCTCATTTTTCCAGGCTAATTCTTTCCTCTTCAGCCATATATGTAGAAAAGTAAAAAATGTTTGGATAAGCTAGTTTAATGGTAGCTAACAGGGCTTTGGCTCTGATTTATCAAAACTACTTATATAGTTTTCATAAAAATATATGGTAAGTACATGGATAACAAATCTGTGATTCTTAGCTGATGCTAACTAAATGGAGAAAATGTTAAATGTTTCATTTTTAAAACTGACAAGTTACGAAGAATTGACATACTGAGAAGGTTTTTACCAGTGAACCAAATGCAATGCATTATACAGTGGGCTTAAATCTAATTTCATTATGCCCTTAATTTCCTTAGAAGCAAAATAAATTTTACTTCCTAAAATGAAATAGCAAAAATTTGTGGATTTGTCAGTTAACTGCAAAATTACTTCATATGGGCAACTGCAGTTTTTAAATAAATCAAGTTATTTTAAAGTTAAAAATCATTCACTTGACATGCTTGCAGTGAAAAAGAATTTAACAACTTGAAGAGCTTTTTATTTTTACAAGGTCTTGATAAAGTCCTAGTAACTCTCTATTTCAGTGAATACGCACACTAGCAAGCATGGATAGTGTGGAAACCACCAAGTAGACCCAGAGTAATGAAACATTTCCTTTGCCTTACAACGTAAATACAGAAATGGTAATTACTGGCACACCCATAAGAAAGCCAACCTCGCAGTCACTTAGGTTTAAGCTTCAGTTCACACCCGTGAGACCTTTGAAACCCTAATGATATATGGTTAAGCAAACCCCGAGGGTTGTCCTGTAGCCACTGTCAACCCAGACTGATAAGCAGCAAGCCTGCCAGCTTCAGCCCATTTCCCCAGCCTTCCTTTTTACTTATTTTCATTGTGTTTTGTTGGCAGCATCACATTGACATAGTGAATCTGAGTGAACAGATGAGTACTACTGTCATCTTCCCATCCTTCGAACAGCCACCAGATGGAGGTTAGGAGGAAAATTCCTTCCCAGTTCAGATCTGCAGGGGTTTTTTCCCCACCCTGGAACCTGGTGTGTGGTCTGCTTATTAGGATGATCTGGGAATGGTAATTTTATGTTATTTAATGCCCTGTTGTAATAGCATTGGAGATACTGACTGCTTCCCAGTGGCACACTGGAATTGTGGCTTTTGAGCTTTTTAATGTCTGAAGTATTGGGCAGGTCTTGGGAAGCGTTCCACAGCCCGTGATACTGTGCTGGACAACAAGCTCGGATGTTCGGTGGACCTCTCTAGGTTATATATCTATGGTACCAATTGAGTATTGGGAAAGATGGAGGCTCGATTCAGTTACTATAGGTTACCGGGTCTGTATGGTGTTCTGATTTGATCTACTATTTTTGTAAAAGGTCCTGACTTAAAGCTTTGTTTCTGCTATCTACTTTCCCTTAAACAGCACAATATGGGCCTGGTACTTGCATTTATATGATAGAGTTCAATAGGAAAGCTTTCACAGATTCAGGGTCAGGTTCTTGTTCTCTGGAAAATATAACATTGTGTATCTATAAATATTCAATATCATAGGCCATAGATTTCTTTCACAAACACTTGTTTAACTCACCAACTCCATTATGTCCAACTAAGCTATTTGTAATGTACAAGAATCAGGCCCTCTGTTTCTAATAAAATTCCAAGCTTTTTGTCTTTCAAGGTTTTCTATAAACACTATTCAAGCAAATTTTGCTTCTTGCATTCAATATGTATCTCAGTTTTATGCGTGTTTACATAAACATTTCATACATCTGATTAACATCAGAATTGCCAGCTTTTCAAATGGCACTCACTGTGCTATAATTCTGCTCAGCCTTGCACAGTATTTTTGGCGTGTCAGTTTTCAACTTCATTAATGAATGTTGCTAGCTAATTGACTCTATTATTATTGTGGAACTCTGTTTGCCAAAGGTAACTATTCTTCAGCATGCCAAGTGTTCAAAGTGCCATCTGTAATTTATAGTTAATAAACACTGAGACAACAGATGACAAATGTCTTCCTGGTAATTTTTTTCCTGTTATCCAAAGATTTTCCTTTGGATTTTTTTTATAAATTTTTTTATTTTACTTCCCAGTTCAACTCCATTTTGTCATTCACAATGTCGCTGAGGTTTAACCTAACGCTAGGGAACAATTGCCAAAGGTAGTCATCAAAGTAGCACTGATTCATAGACATATAGAGCCAGACCCCCAGCAGGTTGGCCAGATCGAGGAATCCATTTGTCTATCTTTTGCCTTCAACAGCAGCAGAGATCAGATGCTGCCAAAATGTGTCTGTGGTCTCAGCTGACAGTGGAGTTACTCTGGGTCTACATGGGTCTACATACAAAGAAGATGCAGCCCTTCACTTAAAAATAATAAAGTGAAGAACAGGAGTGCCGAAAATGAGCTCTGCTACCTACTGTCTCGCTTCTTTGTTCAGCTAGCTGAAAGCTGAACACAGATATTGTAATCACGTTAAAGAAAAGGGCTGTGAATGAACAACACAGTAAGTGTTGTGGGAGGAAATGGATTATCCTAGTCATTCTTTAATTAGGTGAACACACATGGAAAATATGCAGTGGGGAACAAGCCTCATTGCATTTTCCATCTGCCCACTGGGAGGTGAGACAAATGAAAATGGTAGCATAAAGCCAGTCCTGATAAGTTTTGCGTTACATTACTGCTCACCTCAAGCTTTTCATTGTGGAACATGTACAAGGTTTATTAACGTCACTGATAAATACAATCTCATCAATTTAATGGCAAATATCCACATAAATTATTATACTGCTCAAAACTATAAAGGAAGACTATCTTGGAAATAAGTGCATTTATGTAGCCCTGTAAAGACATTCAGCACTTCTGACAATATTGAGTAATATAGATAAGTCTATTTTAATAATGTGAAACATTTCACCCTGATGGCACGTTGATATATCCATGCTATACAAAGCTTTTTCTAATGTTCATTAAATTGTCAAAACCATTCTTACCGAAAGAGAATCTGTTACAATCACTTATCCTCAAAGAACATGGTATCTTCTGCCTTTATCTTTTCTGTTTACTTTTTCTCTTCACATCATAAAATGTCTCTTCCTGAAATGACATATGCAAACAAGTAAATGGACCTACAGTAGTTATATTCACTACTCTAGATATCCTTAATAGACAGTCTTCCTTTACCTTTAGCACTGGATATGCACCCTTTATTGGTATTGAATGAATTATCACCATATGTAGACCTGAATCCAGTGTGTATGTGTTGTCTTGTTTCTGCAGACTGTTATTGTAACCCTTTTGGTTCAGTCCATGATCGCTGTAATGACAGAGGATTTTGTGAGTGTAAGGAGGGAACATCAGGGCCTAAATGTGATAAATGTCTGCCGGGATATATCTGGCACAGCTTGGGCTGCCAACGTAAGTAACTCTGAGAGTCGCCCCTCTCCTGCAACTTTGCTGCCTCTACATCTGTATGCTATCACGTGCAGCTACTTAAGAGCAGAAAATGAGCAAAACGCTCTACGAGCTGTAAGAATGCCATGCTGCCTGAACCTTTTTGGAGGCTCCCAGATGCGGACAGTAAATTGACTGTGCCAGCCATTTATTTCAATATGCTTTCAGTGTCCCCTCTCTCTCGCTAACGCCTGGAGGAGCTCCCACTGAAATATGTAAATATGCGTGTTTTGCCAACTGTGAAATAAGTTTTGTATACTAAAACATCAGCGTATTAACTCCAAATTTAAAATTCTTACTAAAAGACAAAAGGTGATTTCTCTGCATGTTCACTTTTTTGTGTACTAAACTTCAACTTCTTGAGTAACTTAACTATGCTTTCATACCTTAAAACTGTCCCTGGACAATAAAACTGCAAAGCACTGGCTCATTACCTGTTATAATTAGTGAAAACTAGACAAAAGGTAAAGGTAAAAAAAATGGAGGTATGCTTAACATCCTTAAAAATAAGAGCTGAAATTTTGTGTAAATATTGCTAGAGCAGATGTTGTTTCAATGCTTAGTTGTATATTTAGCTTCTCTTCTGGTTAACAGGTCTTGTAAACAAGTGAGTGGAAATACCACATCAATATATACAGGATTAGACTGTTATTGCAAATTTCTTTTGTAACAAATTCTTAAGAGTTTTTCTTCATAACTGTTTTGATCATCTACTTCCAGAAACTCTGGGGAGTCCTCTCATATTTTTCTTTCACCTTTTCTCCCTGCCTCTCTGCATTCTTACACACACACATTAAAGAGATTTCTACAAGAGCTTGCATTTGATTTTTAAGAGCGAGAAACAAGAGAACGTAATTACTAACGCTGATTAACCAAATATTATAAAATTGGCCATGTAGCCACACAAATGAAAATCTTACAGAATCCTAGAATCTTAAGGCTGGAAAAGACCTCTAAGATCATCAAGTCCAGCCATCTTATATCATAACTTTAAAAAAAATGAAATAAAATAAAGCTAGAGATTACCGCTGTCTCTCCAAGTGATGAGTACCTCTGAAGTAGAAAATCTGGACTTGTGGCAGTTCAGCAAATATATCTGGAACAAAAACCAATAAAGAATTTCAGGAAAGATTGTGCTAATTAACCAATTAGCATTAAAGCTAGTACATGAAGAGAAAGGAAGTTTGCATGGGCAACGCAGTTAAACGTTACCTGAGAAAACTGGACTTTCTCAGCTTCTGCCAGAAAGCTCCCGTTTATATTTGGCCAGTTATTTAGAACATACTTTTCACATGTGGTTGTTAACTGTATTCTCATTTTCTGGATGCTTGCACTTGAGTTTTGATTCTCAGAATTATTGAGCACTTACAGTTCCAGCAGAAAGCAGGTGAAGTAGGGTTTCAAATCTCAGAGTTCTCTATTATTAACATTTTGAGAAATCAGATGCTAGGTATCTCAAAAAAGAAGCACTCAGAAATCATAGGATGTCCCTCTGCCTTGCACCCCTTACGTAGGAGGAGGTTGTCACCACCCCTGTACCTTACCCTAGGTGCTGGCAAAATAAGCATTTGAATTTGTGAAGCATTTGAGATATTGTAGTGGCAGGAACCACAGCGGGGGAAAAAACCATGAAAAAGCAAACCGATATGATTCTCTGCAGTAGAATTTGAATATAATACAGGAAACGCCACGTCCGCACAGCGAGTCTAAAAAGGCTGTTAAGTAGCTGAGATACTGAACAGGTCTGGAGGTCTGTGGACCAAATTTTACAGTCATATAATTAATATAATAATAATATATACTGGCTTATCAAACCAATTGCTTATTAAATCCAGTATTTCCTATCTTTTCAGGTTTGGACATTATAACCCCAATAATGTTCTTTTAATGAGGATTTTTTTGAGCCCAACATATAATTAGTGTGATTTTAGCTGAATCAGAGTATTTGTAAAAGCTTTAGACAGTTTCTGGAAACGCAAGCTAGTGCCTTTATATTTGCTGACAAAACTAATTAAGTTTCCCTCACTGTGTTGTAATTTTCTGAACAAATCTCAGTCTGATTATGTAACTGTTAGATATTCTCCAAGTTTGACCAAATTATCTAATCAAATTCAGAAGAAAAACAACTAGATGCGGTTGTCAGTTTTATGGAACAGATATCAAATTGCCATATTTTACCAAGCACACAATGATTTAAATCTCATTTCAGGTCTTTTCATGGAGGAACAGAATTCCAATTCATTTAATTTTGTGGTGTGGCAATTTGAGCAAAGCTCAAAAAGATGTTTTGTCTGGACATGTAGTGTGTGGTTTTGATCTGGTGCCCTGAGATTGTGCTGTACAGAAATGTATATATGCAAAGGTGGATACACGTGCACACGCGACAGACCAATATGTGTTTGTTTCCTTTTTGTTATACATAGCCTACTGGCATTATTAAGAAAATCTATTTTTGCGGAGCTCTGTTGCTAAAAATCATTGAGCTAGGGCAACCAGAAGCTTGACCTATAAATAAGTAAGTTAAATCTATACCATAGCTAGTTTAATTACTTGTATGATTGTATTAGTAAATGGAGCGGCTTAGTTTTATATATTAGTAATCCTATTTGGGAAAAAGCAACGCTAAAGTCTTGCGGTGTTTTCTATGGCTCACAGTATGTCATTTGATAAATTACTGTTCATAGTCTACCTTATACCACACACGGGCAAAAGACACAGAAGCTATTATCCTCAGAAGTATTCATTTGGGTACCTCACTCTTACTGATTTCATCTAAAGCCTCTGAGGATCTAGGCAGAGCGCTCATCGCTTGCGTCTCTGTGCATGCAGAGGTCAGGTGCAATTTCAGACTTTGCCTCCCAGATAAAAAGCACCATGATAGCAGCTGTTATCTTCTTGAATTCAGGGTTTATGCTGCATACACATAGCGGTCAGCAGGGTCTGCTTGGTACAGGAAGGTTTGCTGCCCTCAGAGAAAGAGGCACAATAGATGTGACCGTGCCTTGCGCTACTTCTAAGCCCCTCGCCCAGAACCATTCATGCCACAGGCGTTGTGCGCGCAGGGAAGCTGCTGGGGTTCAGCTCTCCGCCTCCCCCCCAGATACTGACAACGGTTTTCTCACCAGCATGCATACATAGATCAAGGAATGAATTAAGAACAGAGCAGTCTGGTCCTGAAACCCTTTTAGAATTCCAGAAACATGAGAAAATACATAGCTATATTTCATTTTTCTATTTTATAGAAATTAAATGATTACCTTTAAAAATGAACATAAAAATGGACAAAAAAACCTCTAAGCCTGGCAAGAAATTTAACCAGCAACTACAGCTGTTTTGGGCCAGTATTAAAACGAACAGAGTGCTTTGTGATAAGAGAAACCTGTAACAAAAGGCAGAAACATTTACACACAGAACTGCCTGAGTTTTAAAAAAAATGGATGAAGGCAAAATATTAAGCAGGAGCATTCACTTGATTTTCTAAGTGTACTGCTCATAGTCTTGCATCTTTTATATTTCTTGGCCATGACATTTCAGGTGACTAAATTCTGTTGCATATATACAGGAACATTTAAAAATAGCACCTTTTAATTTCACACACACAAGAACTGATTCCAAAACCAGCGGCATATTTATCCAATCAGGCAAAGAAACAACTGACTCTTTCGCCAATCTCGGTTTGCCAACACAACTTGAATTTTCCTTAGACATGATCACCCCACAGGGGAAAAGGTGAAGGAAGGTCCAATGATTAATATTATTCACTATTTCCCTTCATACAATCAATGAGCAAATAAAGGCGTGGAACCTGCAGCCCCACAAAGGCCTAGATCAAGTATAAGAGTTAGCAATAGTAGGTTGTACCCGAGTTAAATTCAGTGCATCATTTATTGTGAATCACTGTTTTAAATCATCTTGGTTCAGTGGTGTAAATCTTAAACAATTACCCAATGAGTTTTCAGCCAGATGCCTTATATCAAGCTCTGAATAGTTTATTTTACCCTTTTTTGTTCATTTTAAATAGTTTGTATTAAAGCAGGCAAAGGATTACACTCTTATCTTCAGTGCTCGAACTGTGCTCCGTGCTTGTATCTGTCTTCCAGACTGAACTTGTATTACTCTGCAGCCTGTTAGATAATTCATATTCTGTCACAGTGTGCATTCAAGTTATTATATGATTATTTAAATATAAGCTTTTTTGTGTGCATTTTATCATGTGTTACAAATGTTAGAAGCTGAGGCTTTTGATCAAAATCATCATGCAGATTGAATTGCCAAAGAAAATCAAACCTGAAATTGTAACCCTGGAACTTACATTAACATTTACTTTTCGAAGTTTGTATTTACAATTCAGCAAGAAAAGATACATTACCATCTATTCCTTAAAAAAAAGAAAAAGAATCTGTCTTGAAAAAATACATCTTGCACTTCTTTCTAGACAGATTAAATACAGAAATGTGATTGTCTCCCCCACTGAAGGTTAGTGATCTTGCATAGGTGTTTGTACAGAGATGTACGCTGTCAGTCCGGCAATACCTACACATAGAACTTGTGCCTGGGGAACTACACTCTGTAAAAAGAAACAGGCATCCGGAACTGGGATGCCCTGCCTTCCAGTTCACCTTTGCAACTGCCTGTGTGGGGAGCCATAGACAATCCACCTATATCTTTTTGTATCTTTTTACCAGTAGGAGTGTTAATGCTTTTAGCTGGTCAGGATACAGTGGGATTTCACCTCCGCACAGGTGCCGTATGTCCTTTCAGTTCTGGTGTGTTCTGGTGCCAGGACTGGTGCTAGTAATGCACTGCCACACTTGGAGCTGGAGGGAAGTGAAGCCTAGAAAGAATTTATTGAAAAGGATAAAGTTCTGATGGGGCTGAACATTGCTTTCCCCAAGGAACCATCTGCCCCTGGTCTTTATAGATGAAATACTGATTTCACAATACCTATCTTACCTGATTCTTAT